GATAGTAAGAAGGTAAATAAATATTTCCTCCGTGTTGTGATACAAACGGTTCAGAGAAAATTGTGTCATCCCAAATCAGGAGAGAGCAGCAGAGGGCTTGTATTGACTCCAAGAAAAGGAGAATTAGCAAGTGTCTGCGTGCAAGAAGTAAAGGAGCTCCCCATAGTTCTCTAGTAGAGTCCAAATAAAACATCTCAAACCAAGTAAAAGAAACAACCTGAAAAATCTTTGGAAAACACATAGAAAAATGTGGCTGTAAGCAATGCTGACAGTCCATCTAATCCAGTTGTCTTCCCAAGGGCAAGATCTTTTCAAAGCATTATGACCAATACATTGGAGTTTAAACCCACAATCTCTTTGGCTATTATTATACTGGCCTATCTGAAAACAGAACAATGTCAGTTTCTTCTACCTGCAGGTCATTTCCAACCTGTCCTAGACTGATGAGGCAGGCTTTAAATTCATCAGAATGTAGATTGTCAGATTCATCCTAGCATCCCATCGCAGGTCATGCATTTGGGAAGGTGAAAGGAAAGAAAGAAAAATCACAGATCAGGTTAGTTGGTTAGTAAAGAACATTCTACTCTTGTATTAATAACAATGTTTTTACAGAAGTTCATGGAAACATAATGTCAACGTATTGCAATGAATTACCTAAAAAGTGTACAACTTTTGCAGTTTCATGCTTTAGTTTTTTCCTTAGTGGAAGAGGGTCCTTACTTTAACTACAGAGTTAAAACTGTGCTTCCTCTATGGGTGCTTTTTAAACATTTTTGCTGATAAGGCAGTTTTTATTCTATTGAACTGCCATTTGCTTCCTTCATTTTCTATTGTTATACAGTGTATGTGAGATGCAGTAAAAATATCACTGAACCTGGGCAAAACATTTTTTCCCCACTCAATTACTGTGACTTCACTCTTGATCTGATAATATTACTTAACAACTGAATATGCATATCTCAAAAGAGAGCAGAAGTACAAAACAACTGGTTTCTTTTCTAGATCCAAAATAAATTTATAACTGACATAACCTATTTTCAGTTATGTCTTCTTTAATAATTTATACAGTAAGGTTTTGCTTTGAAAACTGGCTTTGAATTTCATTCCACTGAATTCCAGGTTAAATGGCTCCTAGTAACACCACGAACTGGATCATTGTTTTAAACCAATATTTTTTTCCATTTTGCAGGTCAAGAAATTCACACTAACTTCTTAAAAACAGACTGGTTCTTTTTCTTCCTGTTCGAACAAAATGTTTCCTATCAGAGGTGTACTTCAAATTGAGTTAACATGAATACAATTAAAGAGATGTTCCAAGGTGAAAAATTATTATCGTTATCGATTTTACAGACTTATAGTTTTGAGAAGATCCGAGGTTTCCTGTCTGCTAAATATTTGCCTGCTAGATGAATAATCTGCTTTTGAAAATTCCTATATAGTTATGCATAACTAGAATTGTAGGAGTTTTAACAAATTCACTGAGTTTATTTAATACACTAATAGGATACAGTGGTGCTTTATTACGTTCATAACACCATTCATTGTTGACATATCATGCTGGTTTTATATTGATTCCCTCTGCATCAACCTTCACCAGCTTCATAAAGGGAAGATGAAAAATAACAGCAGGATGTCGATGACAAGATAAAGCAAAGCTGCAAATCTGGAGCAGCATTTAGTTAAAAGCCATAAGCACTGTGAAGTTTTTTTCCTTTAATATTTCCATTTTATAGGATAATTTCTGCTATAAAGCATTCAAATGTGGTGGATTTTTATCATTCTGAAAATGTTAATCGAGGCTGGCTTGAAACTCTCAAAAACCATCCTGGAGACAGGCTATTGCAGGTCATATCAGGAGTGAAGTCAGCTTATTTTACGTTATTTCTAAAGCTGAAGATATTACTGTGTGACTACAAACAAAATAACATAAAAATGGGAGCTAACAGCCAAATCCTGCCCCTCCACTTCCTCTACCAGGTGTTGGCAGAGGACTATTAGCCACTTGACTGCACCAGGGAGGGTCAGTATGTGCATGAGCATCCTGACCAGGCACACATGGCACTGGTCAGTATGTGCAACAGGTAGCAAAGGGCAGACCAGAGTGAAAGAAGCCAGCACATCTACCAAGACACTGTTTTCTTGAGGAGAGGGGCACACTGGTTGTGCTGGAGCTCACAGCTGCCATCTGGTTAAGTCGGACTCCCCAGTAAGAGTCCAAGAAGTTGTGCCACGTGCTATATAGCAGGTTCTCACATTCTTGTAGTGACTTTTTTTGAACTGCATCATATATGGCCTAAAAAGGCATCTTTGCCTTTGCGGTATATCAGAGTTTCATGGGATACAATGGCATTTTGCAATTAATGCATAGAGCAAGCCCATGCAAGGGCTTTCTCATTGGGAAATGGGTCTTCGTATTTATTTTTATTGTTTGCAGACCAACATTAAGCACTGAAATTAAATTTTTTAAAGCATATAAATAACTTTGCTTCGTTCATCTTTTCCTGACATTTACAACGTAAAACACTGAAATCCCCCTCCATGTTTCATTATTAGTCCCCAGAAATCTTTTCTTTCTCCTTTGTGATTTATATGTGGCCTTATAAAACAAGTGAGCTTCTAAGTCAAAGTAATCCATCCTTAAATATGTCCTTCAGCTTTCTGACTGCTAATTGACCTGCATAAGCCTGATCATGTGGTTCCTTTAATAGGGAGCTGTTGTTTTGCTGTTAGTAAAATACAGGGTGGCATGATGCTATTGTTCTGCGTGCAGACTCCCACTTAAAATCTGTAGTTGCACAAAAATCAGTAGTAGAATATGTTAACAGCCATTAGGATATTACATGCAGAGCAGCTGCAGAGATTTTATCACATGCTTCACAATCTTATTTAGAATTTACTAAACATACTGAATCTGAAAAAGGAATCCCTGCATAAAAAGACTTCAAAACCAGTGACTGACAACATATCTGTATCAGCGTCCCATTTTCTCTGCATACCATAATTCAGCTATGCACCATTTTGAACACTTCTAAACTGCTTCTGTGATTCAGACATTGTGTCCTACTTTCTCTTTTTTCTCTATGCAGTCACATTAAAGAAGGAAATATACTGGCATTGCTGAAGATTCATATTTATACCTACAACTAGACTGTGCCTTCAGGCACAGCCTCCAGTAAGGAGTACTGGGTAAACAGCAGCAGCACCCTCAGAAATAACCTCTGAGGTACCAGCATGCATAAATGTCTGCTGGAAAAAACAAGAGGCTAGAGGGCTTCCCCCTTGCCCCAAGGGAGACAGCGTATTTAGTACTTGCCTTTAACAAGGACGACTTGTAACACTTTCTGTGCTAGCACATCTCTGCTGGTGGATGCACTGAAAGAAACACAACTCTTCCTGCCCTTGTAGTTCTTACATCCATGGTGCCCACTTACTCACTGCAGTTTGAGAATCAGAGGCATGTAGCCCCTCCAAAAAAACCCACCCTTGTAAAATACCAAAAGGTTTTCTTTCAAATATTCAAGATGTAGAAGCCATTTAAAACAATTCACCCAATTCTTTAGCTCTCTTTCAAAGTATTAAAAACTGCAGAATTAAGCTCCATAATGGATTATGAACTGTAATTATTTTTCTTATATATTCTTTCTGGGGAGGAAGACAGGGGTTCCTTCCTCAGATTTATAAGCAAAGGAAGTTTTTCTAGAAGCACTCCATAAAAAGTTAGGTTTATGTGTTCCGAAATACATTCCTTAAAATGGGGAAAGGTGCTACTCTGCATATTAGTACTTTGCTGACATCCTCAACACACACTGAGAGTCAAACATGAAGGTATGTCTTAAATTGGAGAAATGCAACAGAAATCAGAGCTATAGCATGCATAAATGATTCTGTTGTGCTTAGGTATTTAAAGCCTACTCGTCAGGGACAGCATTAATTTTGGGGATCTTTTCTGGCTATTCATCATCACAAACAGCAGTCTGATTATTTCAGCGTATTTTTTTAACTATGTCAGGCATTCAGAAATGCTGCTACATGCAACAAAATTATTACATATACTGCTAATTCTGGCATGGACAAGCCAGTATTTTTCATGTTAGTGCTTACATTCAGGTGATCCAGTTTCATATTCATTTTTATTTAAGGTAATCAAGACCATAAAAGAATCCATTACTGCCTTCTATATCTAAATTCCAAGTTTAGAGTCTTTGTTATTTGGTGTATTATGAAGTAACTCTGAAGCACTCTGGGTTTCCTTTATTCACCAACACTAAATATTGAAGTGTGCAAGGACATAGGAAGGATATAAAAATGAAAACCAAGCCTGCCTCTTTCAAACATGTTTGTTCAATGTCTCCTTCTAGCCTATGTAGATTGAGTCACTGCTGCCCATTAAATTACAGTCTAATTTAATCAGCATAAGCATCTCTTTTATCAGTGTTTCTACTATCTGTCCCCTGCAGAAAGCCGGGCTTGATGGCCGAGTGCTTTTAGATCTTACCTTCTTCCTTTCTTTAACTTGCATTATTCTACTAAGAACATAATTGTTGCACTGTGTCAGTGCAAAAGTCCTCCTAGACCAATTTCCCATGTCTGATGTTAAAGGGAGGAGTATACTAAAGAGGGCATATGCAAAATGGTCCTTCCCTTAACATGATCCTTCTAGGCCTCTTTTTTAAGGCCTTTGGATTACATCAGTCATGGGGGAAGGTAAGGTCTGCAGCTAAACTTGTAGTCCAGGCCCAGGTTGTTGAGGCCATGGAAACTAATGAAGCATCTATCTCCTTCCACTTCTGATCTGGCCACTGAGGCTCCCTGCAAGGGAAGCAAGGGCAGAAGGGGTGCTGCCTGAAGCCATGACTCATGATAGCCTGAAGAAAGGAGATAGCCAGGGGTAGGCAAGGATCTAGGAGCTGGGAAGCACTTCTGTGTTGTAGCCCATAGCCTATCTCCAACTGCAGCTATGTGACATGAATGCCCTCACCCAGGCTGTACAACCTTTCCTAAGGACTTGCTCTGTAGTATCCTTTGGTATCTCCAAGTATTGCTCTATCTGCAAAGCCTAACGAGACGTAATAGGGCTGGTTGGTGTAGGATTTAGCTTCTCCCTTCCTGACTGTCTGAGGCACCAAGAGGTGCCCGTAACACCTCTCGGCCACTGAACCAGCCTTGCTGCGAGCGTGGCAGAGAACACATCCATGAACTACGAAGACACAGGGATACTATAAATGTCCATCAAGTGTGAGACATACTAGGATTCAGTCACCTTGCTTCCATATCTTTAGGGAGCTGTCAAACCTTTGTGCAAAGTCCCTCGTTTCCCTTTATAGGGTCTCTCAAATACTGGCATGTAATTTATCCAGGCCTGGTACTCTCTCTGCTTTTAATAGCTCTAATTGCTCAGTTATCTGCTCCAGTGCATTGGGAAAGACGTTTAGTATGCTACTTCCTTCCACCCCAGGAAATTTATCTCTGCTTCTGTGATGTTATCTTCTGCTTCCTTAGAAAATACAAAAAGGAATTATGCTGCACTAGAATCACATTAAGATTTTCCATAAAATCTGTTTCTTGCTCCTGTGTAGCTAACCTTTCTTAAGCTCGTGTGGTTGTTCGGAAAGCAGAGGTTTGGCAATTCTGCTTTTCTTTCTAAACAATTAAGGGTATTCTAAACAATATTTAGTAAACTATGACTGTCAGCATCCAAAGCACATCAAGTGTAAGTCCAGGTATGGGCAACCATTTTGAGTAGAGCTGGACAAACAGGATGTCAGTGAAAAGACAGTGGCATTTTGCTATAGCCTGAAATGATTTGAAGGAGCTGACTCATGTGATGACAGAATATAAGGCAGGGGTTAAGCACAGTCTGCTAACTATAGGAATCTGTACTGGGAAAAAGACAACAGCCCGGTGCTGCATTATGGTAATCTTTTTTCAGTATTTGAAATGAGAACTTGGTTTTGAAGGGGGCTCCTACGAACACAGAACCAGCAGAATTAACTCACATACAGATTGTTCTCCAACTAGGAATGTCAAATCCCTGTCTGCATGTATTTTGCTATTGTGTCTATTAATAGCTATCTTTTTAGCCTCTATGCATTAATACTGTATAACTCACAAAAGGAGTGAGTTAAATTTCTTCATAATAGTGTTTTCACTCCTACTTTTTTATTCATCTATGATTAGATAACTGAAAAAACAGCCTCTTATTTCCCGCATACAGCCAGAAAAATAAAGGATTTTCCTTGACAGCTATCAGTCCCCCAACTAAATTCCCTACAAATTTATTTCTAGGGGGACAAGTTGCGATTCAAAGAAAAAAAAAACAACCTATAATCTAGATCACATCTAAATTTAATGAGATGGAAGCTGCTGGCAAGTACATAGAACATGCTGCACTGCCTTAAAATAAAGGGGAACATTGTTTTCCAAAACACAGAGATTTATCCAGTTCTCCCTGTTATTTGAACAGATTCTCAACCATATTAGCAGAACTATAGTTTTGCATTAGATATGAAGAGTAAAAATTAATCTTTACTGTATCTGTACAACACTGATTTCATAAGGCTGTAAATTCTTTGTTAACTGATCTTTTCTTCTGTTTTAAAAAGAGTCCACTGCTACTACATTGTCACTTTTTTAAAAGGCTTATATTTGGAATGAAAATAAACTTGCTTTTGGAAATAATAAATATTGCTAGTTGAGAAAAAGCAGGAGTACTGTACCCTGTCAAAATGATTGAATGATGCTCGGAAGTCATTCATCTGTTCCTGGGTGATACCCTTGGCATCTCTTGTGAGGATCTGAGTCTCAACCTCATTGATAGTTCGAGCAATGGTGGTAAGTAGGAGCTCCCATCCAACACGGATGTGCTATGTGAGAGAAAATACTGATTTATTAAAGAATCAAATATATTCTTCTAAGAGTATAAAAAGTACAGTAACCAAAAAATCAGCTCTAAATATTGACGTGATACCTTTTCCATATCACTAACTCTATATTATAACCAAGGATCATTAAATATAAAAATAGCCTTCAGAAAAATATGGAACTGGTTTCTAAATGAGTACTTCTTCACTAAAAGTAAAAATAAGTGAAAATAAAACAAGTCTTATGAGATTATCAGAAAGTCTGCCAAATTCCATCCTCTGTGGCAGCCTCTTCAGATCAGGGAAGGTCGTTATATGGCAGAAGAGGGCAGAATAAACTAACAAGTACAAAAAGGAGTAACTGGTTACCTCCATAGTATAGTTGGTGTGCTTGTTGTCAAACACCAGGGCTTCTTGTATAAGCTGATGATCTCCTTCCAGTTTGTCAATGTTGTGTTTATAATTAATGATATTGTGCTCATATTGCTTCAGCTGATTCATCTGGTCCTCCAAAGGCCCTGTCATTTCAATAGAGCTGCGGGCAATTTCCTGTCAAAGGAAACAAATACACACCCCCGCCCACAAAATTTAAGCTTCTGATTTGCTAATTTGACCAACGTTCACATAAATATATAATATTTTCACACTAAGAAGCAATAGTAATAAAACTTTCATACAGTGGAGATGAGAAATTTTACTGTAGGAAACATATTTCAAAAGAAATGTGATACATTTATTTCTGGAATTAGTATTGAGACCCCAGCAACCCTGGTATCTTTGCTTTACAGAAAGCAGAACCTAAATAGCAATAGTTTAGTGATTCATTTTTCAAGCTACATCTGCTTATCATCAAGGTACCATTTGTACAAGCTTCTACAGTTTTAAAAATCATCATAACAGGCGCTAAATACTTCCGGATCAAACAGCTGGTAAACTATCATGGAGATTACTGTTGTCATGTACATAAAGCCAAGATGAAAAATTATAAACCACTTTGTTCATCAGCTTCTGTGTGAGGGTCTGATGCTTACCTCCATCTTGGTCTGGATCCATGGCCCAATGACATTGGCCTGAGCAGCAAACTGGCGACGCAGGCGCTCATTGGCGTGCTGGCGGGCTAGTTCCTCCTGCAAGGATTGATCCCTTTGAGGCACCAGCTGCTTCACCTGTTACAGTGGGAAAGCACTAAGTGTGAGTAGGCGCAATCAAATAGTTTAAAAACAAATGGAACAAATAAGTCTACAGTTACTAGTCTTTCTTTTTAGTCTGAAGATTGATATATCAGAAGGACAAGCCAGAAACATGATCACTGTTGTATCTACCAATTCTGTGCTAACATAGTCTTGGGCAGCCTGACCAGAGAGACTGACATGGAGAGAGAAGAAAGTCTCACCTCTGGCTGGATTCAAGTTCAAGATAATTATTTAACTTGAAGTGCTATTAGAGCAGTTAGTTTGTTTTTCTTATGAAACACAGGTGATTTTTCAATCTCTAAGTAGTTATTCTAAGAATAGTCAGTGCAAAACATTTTATTCAAGCAGAAGCCATTATGATAGGACAACAGGAGACCCATTCTATCTATCATGTATATCTGAAGCTCTCTAATACATTGCAAGTGCCTCTTTTGATTTACCCTTCTGGACTGCCCTGGGAGATTCTGAACTTAGTCCTTATTGCTTAGTTTTTATAACCCATTGAGGGTGTGTTATTGTCTGTGTAAGTTTATATACTTGGTAAATTCATACATTCTACACAATCATTTCCCTTCAGCATATTATCTGTCTTGGTTCCTAATGAAATAAGTTTGTGTGATTGTTCTAGGAGCCTCCCTTTAATCTCTTCCCAGTAATATTTTAACGTCATTTCTAATTTCAATCTAATTGGACAAAGCATTAATAGTCCCAAAGACGGTAATTTTTCACATTTGTGAAAAGCAGCAGCTGAGTAGGAGACACAGGAGTTACTGTTTATACTGAGAGCAAGAATACAAACATTTTCTGTTCTTTTAACAGCACTCCCCGGCCCATCTGCTTGCCAGCCAACAGCTCTGCACTAGCCCCAACACACACGTCTCTTGCCCCACCAAAAAGGGTGTAGGTAATATTGAGTGATGGGAGCAAGGGATATTGTGAAGCGAGCCTAGCAAACATAAGGGAGATTATAAGACACTGCAGAAAGTTCATTCTGGCATCTGATGATCTAGAATAATTTACAGATTTATTGTAAAGTTCTCTGAATATTCTCAGTATTCCTGAACTAGAATACTATATTACAATATGTCCTGTATATATTTAACATACATTACCTTTTCCCACTTGCTACGAATCTCTTCCACAGTAACAGTGCTGTAAGGATTGCTTGCACTTATTCTCATGCTGTAACTCTGAATAACTTTTTCAACTTCATTCTGGATTGACAGTATGGCCTGTCTTTCACCATCTGCCTCTGGCAAAGTAGCTTTAAACTGATCATGTGCGGAAATTAAACTCTAAAATCAGAAACAGAGAGGGAAAGCATTAAAACTTTGAAGTTTCTTCCAACATCCAGAAGATCTGCTGTAAATAAGGACAGCTCCTCTCAGTCTCTCAAACACTGTCTACATTTATCTGTAGATACAGGAAATACTACATGTAGATACATTCATGAAACAGCCCTCATTGACTTTATCAGGACCATTGCTTCTTCCATGATCTCTGGAATATGCTTTTATACCAATGAAGAATCCTATTCATAATAAAGTAGACATTGCCTATCAGAAGGAAAATGTCCAGATAGACAAGGGTTTTTTTTTCTTATACATTTTCTACTCTCCAAGAAGTAAAAGCTTCCTGTTTTGTTTTCTCTATGACTGTAAACCAAAAACTAGGCAACCTTTTACCTGAATTTCCTCTATGCTATGAACAATAAACATGTCCTGCAGGTCTTCCATAGCACCTTCCATCCAGTTGTTGAAAGGAGCAGCTCTTTTGGCAAACTCCAGATGAAGCTGATCAATTGTTTCAAGCAACTTCTCCGTCCTCTGTACAGGTTGGGAAAAAACAAACATTCCTTTGTTACTAGGGCAAGACCTAACTCCACACACATACCCGCCCATGCACAAAGTCATGCCTCATCTTTTCAAAAGCAATTGATTGTATTGTTGACTGATTTCACCACCTGCTTTAAGGATTCTCACTCAAGTCAATAGGACTAATTGCAGTAAAGATACTCTCATATCCAACATGTTAAAAGAGATGAATGCCTTTGAAGGATAACAGGTGTAATTAGTTTTCACCACTGATATTATAAGTATTTTTGTTATTGCCATCTATCTGCAAATCAATTAAAATCTGCTAATCTTGCTCTAGTAATTTTTTATAAATACAAAAAAGAAAAGTTAGACATATGTTTTCCACTTTGGTATACATGTGTGTGACTTCCTCTTTTCTTAAGGAACAAGGTTTTGGAAAGTATCTCAGTGCTTTGGAATACTCACTACCAAAAAATGAACCCAGTACTGGCCATAATACTGTACCTCACCTGATTACACTCTGACAAGTATGAAAAGGTAAGCACCTAATGACTTTTGTTATACTTGCTGGACATCAAATTCCCAAAGAGTGGTGCTATAAACCACATGTCATTTTTTGCTGCTTTTTGAGTACTGTCAAGTCTGCTCTGAGCAATTCAATCTGTTTGCAAATGAAATGACACCAAAATGAAATGGAGATCTGAGGAAAGGGTTTATTGCTGTTTGGATTCCAAAGTGGATGCTCAATGGCACTATCTCTAGATCTGAAACAAATAACTCATTCCCCGTTCCCTGCCTCAACTGAGCTGCTGATCATTGTTATATGGTTTACCTCCAGTGCCTCTCTCCTTTTCTGAGTAAGTGTTCCCAGGCTGTCCCATTGGTCACATATCTTTTGGCATCTATCATTGACACTTGCAGCATCATGGTAGTCCAGTTCACTAAGAAAGAGTGAAGACAAAAACCTATGTGACTTTCTGAAAGACAGAAGCAGTTGCACTGTTCACACTCTCCCACTGGCCCTCAGTAATTCTTCCCCACTTTTTTGTGATACTTCTCCTAGTATCACAAAAAAGTAGGTAGGCAAGTGTTGCAGTATAGACACGTGTGATCTAGACATTCAGCATTTCAAGAAGCACAGCACAGGAACAGGATCAACCTCCTCTGTTGTGAGAAAAATCAAGTACCCATCTGTGACATCCAGGTATTAAAGACAATTAAAGTGTCTAACCATCTTTGTCTCAGCTATTCCTGTGGCACAAGCAGTTTGATCTCCTGAAGACCAGGATTCTTCAGTCTGGGGCTTTATCAAGTTTCTGAAGATTGGTACAGTTTAAAACTAATTGGCCTGAAATATATGTTTTGTTTTAAATAATCCAATGATCATTTCCAGCCTCTGAAATTATTTAACTAAAAAACAGACCCCAGGCTGCATTAAAAGCATAATCTCTCTGTCATAGGCCTGGCAATACTAATGGGGGCTGCCCAGATCTGGGGCACAGAGAACAATTTTCATCTTCCTCTCCAGGAACTCCTCACAGAGCTACACCCTAGAACAGGCTGATTCAGAAAACAGGGATCTCCAGACTCACATATGCCACCAGCATGAATCAGTGCACGCACAACAGATGTAGCAGTTGCTTTTTCACCTGCTTAATAGGCTTATATTATCCTGGCAGAAAGCAACTTACTATTCTGCCTAAGACTGGAATAACTTTTTAGAGGCACTGTCCTGAGATTCTGCACTGAGTCTGTGTCAAATTGAATTTTTGATCTCCGTGGCAGATAATCCACTTGGTTCTGCTGCAGCCATCATGACCATAATAAAATAAATGTATGTGCAACTTGGAAGCTCACTTTTATTGGTGTATCATCATCCACTGAATTTAGCTCTTGGCTGCTCCTTGAGGGCACTGTCCAGTACTAAACATTGCAGAGACTGTGATTATATGACAGCATGGCAATATGAAGCTAAAATTTACTTTAAGGCTTGAACAAGATATTAAATGCAGATAGAATTTGTTCTCTTCTTTAGAGCATTCTTCTCTAGGCAACTGGCAAGAGGAATGTACAGATCACTCTGCCAGTAACTTAGAGAATCACAGAGGACAAAATGAGAACAGAGGTAGCTTTCTTCTGTGAAGCTACACTGTAGGCCAAGGGCAGTGTTCATGTGCGGCATTTAGTTGCCAGCTGGGCTAAACCACAACACTCCTCTAAGCTCAGTCAGAGCAATCTGATTCGGGATAAAGTTGAGAAGGATGAGAACCATTCTGTTTAAAAGAGGCTTCAGATGTGCTCAAATCAAGTGACTGTTGAAAGGGAAGAATGGTAAAACAAGTAAAAATAAAACGCCATAACAATTTAAAAAAAAAGAACAAAACCAACCCAAAATTGTGGAAAATGGAACTGTTACATGTAAGGAGAATGCTGCCAGCAAGTCATGCTCCTTAACTTGAAAACTTGCTTCCTCCTTTGGACCAAGCCTTTTTGTTAGCCTTCAAGGGATGCTACAAAAGCCATCAATCTGTTAAGAAATTTTAAGTCAGAAGCACAGAGTTTTGGATGAAACAGGCTGAGATATATTTTGCTGCTATGAGTTTTTGGCTGGAAGCTGGGTTATTTCATTATAGCATATTGAGATTATTAGATGATGTTCCTGCATGAGCTGTGAGCTCACTAAGTGGATAGGATGCGGAGATCTGTATTCTGGTCTCTTTTTGCACACCAAAGCTAAGATACTAGAATATGGACAGGGTATTTTTCTAGATACTCCAGGTCACATCCCTGAGAGTACTGCAAATTTTATTTTTGCTTCAATGAATCACTTATCTCCTTTTGTCGATTAGGATAAGGGCAGGTGTCCTTCCATGAAAGTGAGGGACTTATTGTACCAGCTCTGGTCAAAGTCCTGGAAGGTAATGTGCAACGTTCCTCCACCAGCTCTGCCAGGGAGGTTCAGTCATTCCCCATAAGATCTCTGCTATCCTATTTCTTCCAGGGATATGTGCTGTGGACAAATAGGTAGGAGAATAATATTATCAAAATAACTTTCAAAAAGGCCACCCGTGGGTCAAAAATCATAAGTTAGATTACCAAGTGGTATTAAAAAGTGTAGCTCCACTGCCTTTCTGGGTCTGCTGTAGTTTACTTCACATAAGTGTACTATATGTGTGAAAGAGCATTTTTGTGCTCAAAGCAGGAGCAGAGGAAGAAATAAGAAATCATGGGAGATTATTCGCTTTGAAATAAAACACAAGTTTACATTCCTTGTCCTATCAATTTTTGTATCTCTCTCAATACTGAAGCTGTGAAGAGACTAAATTTCACATTTTGTATACAGAAGTTTTGTTTATCATGAATACACAAAGTACTGCTGCACATGTGTTACAGATCTTCTAAGAGAACAGTCATTTCTATTCATTTGGTTATTTGAAACCTACAGCCTTCGGAATTTAAAAATCATTAAGCTAGTCCTATTGATCTTACAAGTAATTCAATCTTATCTGTAAAGAATTAAAAATTTAGTCAAATTTTGTCCTGATTCAGAGAAGCACTTATGTATGAGCTCACTTTAGGACCAGAGATAGTGTCACAAAAATAACCTGCTGAGCAACATGCTTTAGCATTGCTTCAGAACCAGGCTCATATTAATCATGTACGTAAGCACAATTTGAGCCCAGGTTTCCAGAAGCAAAAAGATTCTCCAAATTGGTGTTACAGATAGTGGTCTTTTTGCATGAAGATAAGTTGCTATACTAAAAGTGATGGATACGCAAGAAACTACATTGCAAAAATTTTATCTTGATGATTGAAAACATCGAAATGAGCACACAAGATCATAAATTAATATGGCATTACACAGTACAGCTCACTCAAGTTCTATTTAGCATTTGCTATCTCATAAATGGCAAATCTCATTTTAGAAATGCCTGACTTTTCCAGCTTTGTATATAGCTCTGTCCAAGTCTTGTCACGCCTCATTGCCAAGGAATATCTAAGTCTATACAGGCTGGAACACAAGAATCTTGTAGCAGCATCCTGGCTGGAATCACCTGCTTGCACATGTGCACAAATCCTTTATCTAAACAGCACCAATCAACAAGCTTGTAGCAACTTTAACCTTAAGCACACAGTGGACTGAGCTGCTGCAGCAGAAAATACCAGGACAGGAAATTGTAACTGGTAGAGTTCAAGGTCACACAGCGATTGTTCTCCTTTGAAATAGCACCATTAGACAGCCAAGAGATTGACTAAAACAAAACATGGAGGTGTACTGACTTGGAATTTAGACACAGATGATAATGATTTCCATAAGGGCCTGATCCAGTGGGAAAAAAAAAAAAAGAAAAAAAAAGAAAAAAATACCCACATTGACTTCAATAGGCTTTGTGTCAGGTGCTGATGCACATTTATTAGCATTCAGACATTCGTCAATCCTTCTTTAAAAATATGCATGGAGAAAGAAATAAGCATTTTCCTCCATAATTTCATTGTGTGAGGAATTATGTATAAATAATTAAAATCAATATTTAATTAGAAACTGCCTATTTGCTCACAGCTAATAATAAAATTTGACCTTTATGATCTCTCCTTCAGTGTTCTCCAAGGGGAATAAGCCAAACTGAGCTACTGAGTCTCCGTGAAAAAGCAGGCACTGCTAGCCCCATTCTATGGAGAGGCAGAGAAGGCAAAGTAGATCGTCTCTAAAAGCAGTGGGTTTTCAGCACCTTTGCAGCCTACGCCACAAATAACTTGTTTAACTTCACACAGCAAATTACTGAAACAACTGAGAAGAGACAATCCTAAAATAGACGGGATACAGTGTTCACTGGCCTCACCAGAGGTAAAGGACACAGGGTTCAAAACACCGGTAAGCAGATGCTGTGCTATGTATACTACATTCCCAAAGCTTTTCATCACTTGTAAACCTGGAGCTGAATTAACAATGATGAGGTGTTTCAGAAATTTTCTTTAGTATAAAGGGGAACTAATAACTCCACAACAGAGATCAAGGTGCGTCACAAGGAGTTTCATAAGCTCACATACTCGGTGAAGTCTCCATCCTCTGTGTTTTTCAGACTTCTTTCACGCTAACTAAAACCCAGTACTTACTCTGCCCACCGTGCTTTACTTTTTCACCTTTGAATTGTCTTGAAAAATAGGATTTTTCTTTTAAATCCATTTAAATTGTACAATTACTGTAAGTGCTGCTGCTATCAGGCATGAACTATGTTTTTAGACAACTCTGATTTTTAAATTGTTAATGAATGTGGAGCTATTCGAGTTATGGTCCTTCGCAAAGTGAAAAGAAAGCATGTTTTTAACGCTCAACTTTTTATTAGTAACTGTTTTGCCTGTTTAAAAAGGTGAGAAACTGAAACTTGGAGAGCTGAAGCTCAGGGCAGGAATTCGAGAATTTTGATCTTGGCTCCTGTTTCCATCACTACTGCACATTTGTTCCTGTTGGCTTTACAGATTTATGCTGCGGGTGAGCAATGAATTTAAGTATGTGCCGAATTGCTATGATCAGGAGTAGCACCACTGATTTACAGTACAAAACCACTGCAATTAACTGCATAAGATTATAAAACCAACTGTGCTTAGCTTGGTGCACACACCAAGATGACTTGACCAGAATAGGGACATCACTATTTAACACTACAGTCCTGCCAGTGTGGGCAGAGCTTTGCTGACAAAACGATGCTTCACAGAGGTGAATTAACAACCTTCCCACAAACAAAAGCAAGCTCCATCTGTAAAGACAGAGTTTAGCCAGAGTAACTGCATCAACACTCAGGACTTCTGCTGCCATAAGGGCGTCTGCCAGTCAGGGGCCTTGACTTTTCACGTCCCTATGTAGCTGATGTCAACAATACATACGCAGAATTGTTCTCAGCTTTGCTTGTGTTTTCTCTGGGCATAGCATATCAAGCGAGCAAGTGTTGGTCCTGTGGCTAAGTTGATGGAACTGTGGGTGAAAACTCCTGTTCTCCTATAGGAGAGCTTGTGCACTTGATTGATTGTGTGACCCTGAGCAAGTTATTTAGTTTCCACACGCCCCACTGCCCTTTCTGTAAAATGGAGACAATGGCACTTCCAAATATAATACCAAGAGATTGGGAAAATAAGTACACAAGAGACAAATCTTCAGAAAAGTCTGTGCACTACCCACTACTATAGAGATAATTTAGGGATGTGAAGCCTTTTGAAAGGACCAATATACTTATGGGAAAATACTTGATTTTAAAGTGAAGATGCTTGATCTGTAATTTGTGTAATTACACAACTGTAATTTTCAAAGTTAAACAACTCATAATCAGTACCTCTCAGCAGATGATATGAACTGAGAAATAAACACCTCCAGCATTCCCATTGACATACAATGGACCCATCAGTAGAGCTAATGCTAAAAGATTACTGTTAAGTCAATTTTAAAATGTTTGTTTTCAAATAATTTTGGTTAGTAAAATATCTATATTTGGTTGGGGGTAAGGGGGAGATGAGGGAAAGGTCTCAGTGACCAGCTCAGATAATATACTTATGAAGCTATCTCTGGAATTCTTACGTTGGTACCTATGACACTATCAAATTCATTGGAAAGAGTTTATCACAAAGTTAAATGTCAGCAGCTGCAAGCCTTTAAATGGAACATACTTCAGCTCCTGGGCAATGGCAGCGATCTGTTCCACCCTGTCCTGGTGAGCAGCCAAATCGCTCTCAAAAGCTTCATGTTTCCTTAACATGGCACGGACTTCTGTCAGAGAAGCAGATTCATAATCCTTCTGAAGTAAGATCTGCTCTTTGCCTGAAAGAGGAAATTCAAATATTAGTAATTCTTTACTAATTTATTGGTTAGAACAATTGCAAATTTAGTCAACTTTTTAAACTGAGGAATGGTGAAAATCACGTGTATGAGATGAAGTCCCACACCCACTGAAATCAGTAGCAAATTGTCAGCACAACAGTGTTAATAAGAAATATATATTTTTAAAGATCTCAGTAATTCCTTGATTTTTGCATGGGCTGTTTACACTGGTCTAAAATAGCGAGTATTACATTGCTTGAGAACTAGGATAAAAATGGTATATTGGCAAAAACTGAGGCTCTAAACTATTGTGATAAGTCTTTTGTAGAGCAGACTTACAAAACCAGAAATCACACTGCTACGCCCGGCTTTACTCTTACTAATGATCTGTTATTCTTTTTCATGTTCTGCCTTCAATTCATTATTCATTTCAGCACTTCCAGGGTGGGGAAAAAAAAAGAATATGTAGATATGTGGCTGCCTTTTGTATCAAACACTGAATTTTAGGTGGACAATGCCAACCTCTTTACAAAAGGCTAGAGAAGCAAAGAGGAAGTCAGAAACTGAACTACTACTCCTCAGTAGCTCCTGTGTTGGACAAGTGAATCTACATCGACAGCCCCTACAACTGCAGCTTACCATACAGCTCTGTGAATTCTAAAGCCAGAAGGGACTATTGTTTCACTTGCTGTGTATCAGCTTATCTGAAGTTTTCCCTGCATAACAGCCATAACATGTCACCATGAGTAGTTTATACTCAGAAAATAGGCTCTCAGGGCCGATAAACACTGTAGTTTCCCTTCTAGTAGCTGCTTGGCAGCCTTTTACAGCCTTGTGTGCTTCCAGCAACTGTGTTACGGGATGGACTCTGGTTTACTTTCACAGTGTGAAAAGATTCTAGCTGGAAAAAGCCAGAAGCGTCGCAGAAGCAGGAAGACGGTTGTCAGGGAAAACAGTAGGACGATAGAACAGATTTATGTTTAACGGTCCCCAACAAAAACGTATGCCAGTGTATGGTCCTATAGCTGTTACAACTACACGTGAGGTTAGGTTACCATTCAAAAATGGAACTATAAATGGGGAGTGTAATCCAGGGTATGGAGTAAAGCAGAAATGAGTCCGTTATCATGTAGTTTATGTGGACTATTCAAAATATCATGATGGCCAAATGATAATCAACTCGGAGTAAGTCTGTTAATAATATCACACTTAACCAGTGGTGTCACTGCATTCCTGATTAGATTGCTGGTGTACAAATACACAGGAATGCATTAGCAGTAATGGCCTCTATACAAATGCTGAATATTTCCATTAACTGTGACTCACTACCTCAAGAGTATGATTTTTACAGTTACATTTCATTAGCAACATGCCTACAAGTTATGATCATGACTATAGTAAACAAAACCTGCAATTTTATCTGTTATTATTTTAGTTTTCTAAAACTGCAAGTGAGTTTCTGCTGCCAAACATTCAGCACTGACAGTTCAACCTTGAACATTAAGACCTTAAAAATGTTAAAAGCCATCTCTGCTCACCATATGCCCACTGTTCATGAGTAGAAGCCTTCTGCCTGAATTTCTCAGCCAAGTGTTCAAGTCTTTCCAGTCTTCGTATTTCATTCAGCAGCCACTCTTCATAGCCTTTCTCAGCTTGTTCAAGTCTCTGCCAAGCGCCGGCAATATCCTGTGAAGAGAATACATGAGAGAGAGGGGATGAAACTATCACATCTTTTTCTCTAAATTTGCAGATTTCTGAGTCATTCACAATTTTGTTCCAAAAAGAGAAGTTTTTATGTCCAGTTTTTCTAAAATCACAGAATCACGGAAAATGTCAGACAGCTCAGGAAGTCTTGTAGTCCAGACATCTGCTCCTAATAGTGTGCCCGTGCCAGGTGGGTCCATGGAAGGAATCTCTATACAAATGGCTTCCAAGCACAGCTACACATCCAGTGTCTTCACAATATTTTGCTCCCATTTTACAATGTGCGTGTTCTGTTAGGACTTATCCATCTTTTATCAAAATAAAAGTGTGTTGCTCTCGAAAGCTGACAATAGTAAAATTATTAGTGTCGAGAGGATTTGGTGCATATTTTATCTGGAATACAAACTCACTTTCTCTGGTGCACAAAATTTTGTGAGATTCTTTGGAAACTCAAAGGCATGAGTAGGAAACTGAAGTGAAGTATTTTCTGCATATGGAAAGTGGACCATGGGCCTTTTCAGATAGTGCAATCATCTGTTTATCGAATCTGAGCAACAAAAACACAATGACAGAACAGAGTACAGAAACAGGTTTGCTATATTCCATAGGAAATGTTTTGAACCACGGTCAACTCACAATACTTATCAGCAGATGATAATTCTTAGTACTGACTATTCTTATCTTCACAGACATAAGAAAAAACAAAATTTAATTTTAAAAAGTAGGAAAAAGCAGAAACATATACTGAGCAATGTCTGTTTCTGTAAGTCCGATGAACAAAATGCCAGTGAAACCCTGTGAATTTTGCTTAAATAAACAATATTTGGCCTTACTGATAAAGAAGTATTGATAACACTCCCAAAGGAAGCTCTGTATCTTCTCACATTTCAAGACAATTTGCTCTGGGGGAAAGCCTTCAAAGAGGCAGGAGCATGCTTAAATAAAGTAAGTTTCTAGAACGAAAGGGAACATGTAAGCAGAGTGGTTTGGTATCGATAATGTGGCACAAACTGAAGTTTCTGAGGATGACTTGAAATGGCATTTCAATCCTCCACATGGAAATTTTTGTGAGAACAATGATAAAAAGGAATATTGACGCCTCCTTTACTTACTGAAACCATTTTTCCCTCTGATGGCATGAAAGCTGGCCGATTGCTGATTCGCAGTTTTGTCTGCAGGGTGTTGAAATTGATCTCCAGTTGACATTTCTCTTGGACTTTGGGAGGTTTGTGTTTGCGGCGGTAGTCCCGGAAATCCTCTAATTTCTTCTGCATAGCCTGCATTGTTTTCTCTGGGGTCCTGTTTTCCAGCCAAGGAATTGTCCGGCGAATCCATTCTAAAAGCTGTCAAACCAACACAAACAGTTGAAATAAAGGTAATGGAATAGCAACCAAAAAAAAAATCATACTGCATGGATAAATCCTAATGAAGTTTGCTCCATTTTTATATTATTTACTTCAGTTGGTATCACTGCCTTAATGGCAAGTAAGCACAAGATTTTCAAAGCTGAACAACACTTTTTTACTAATTTGCCCAGATATTCTAGGTATTTCTAGAAATACCCTGATTTTCAGAAACATGAATACACATGTAAGGTGTCTCTAGCTAATTACTCAAAACCTGAGTTGCCCAAAATCACTTGCCACTTTCAAAAGTATTGGTCTTGATGTCTCAAGTAGTCATAGTCATGAGATCAGGACAGACAACAGCCAAGCAACTCAGGTCATATAAAAATCTTCACTCAGAAGTCCGTTAGTGCCAATGTAGCACTACTGTCTTTGTGTCTATGATCTCAGTGTGTTTTTGCAGGTTATGCATTTGAAGATACGGGAGCTCTCACTTGTGCACTACACATCTGTAGCCCTGTCTCAACAAATTTGCCACTTACCAAGACAGGACAGGAGGAGCACAGTGTGCCTCCGTCTTTATTCATTTGCTCCCTGAGTTCACAGGTGCATTATGAACACCCTGAGAGACCCTGTTCAGGTGTGCTTTGCAGTACACAAAGCCAACGGACTTGCTTGGAGTGACAGGATCCTGTATGTTTCACATGTCGTCAAGGATGGCTGTCTTTGGAGATTACAGAGAGAACAAGCCTGGTCTTGGGAGAGACTGATGACAGTCCTCAAAACACCCTTTTTGGCACATTAATGAGACTGAGTGACTTGCTGGAGGTCACACAGGAAGTTTGTAGCAAAGGAGTCCCCTGAACCTTGACAACTTGCGCAACTGAGCTTCTTGCCCTACCACTGTGAGATTTACCCTCATAGTGTCTTCGCTTTGCTGTCTTGCAGACAGTGCATGAATCTTTCAGCTTTCCGTATTTCATGAACATAATTATCACCACGTTATAAATACAGCTGTCTTTACCTCACTTGCTAGTCTCTCATACTCTTCCATCAACCTCTCATTTTCCTGATTCACGGCAAGCACCTTACAGATCCGGTTAGCTGCAGTCTCAGCCTGTAAAACACAGTAAATAAACAGGACATACTCATAAACACATTGCAAGAAAAGTACAGGCTTGGAGAAACAGAGAGAATCTGGCTGCTGCAAATAAAAATCACATGGTTTTATAGATGTTGATTTGTGCTCTTAGGTTACTTAGATATAAATTTGCCCTTGGTTACTTAGATATATATTTACCACAGATTCCAATGGTCTGAATAAGGCACAGATCAGCACAGAAGTCACCTTATTGTATAATGAAGCCTTATTATACAATGGGGAATTTCACACTGCCATTATAGTTGTCTAATAAATCTTTTATTCTCAAAGATGACTTAGGCCATTCTTAAAGTTATCCTATTAGGTCAATTTTTTTTAAGCCACACCAAAAAAGTATTAGATTTGTTAGCCACACTGGAAAGACACTCCATGTGATTCAGGAGTCTCAGACCACTCTATATCTGCACATCATATGCACATATACCCTGGAGAATGTATGCAGCTCAACCACTGACAGCAAATCTTTTCATGTCTCCTGCCAAATTTGTGAAGGCACTGTGTAGCTCTGCCATATGTAAAATTTACATTAATAGTTTGACATAACAGACCTATACTTTCATACAAATATGAGTCTGGCGTATATTCAATCAAATAAATATCTGTGTAGACTCCTGTGTTACAGAGTATGCGGAATCCCCCATTTGCATGAATAGAAAACCCTTCATACCCAGAAGCATGAGGGTGTAACAGCATAGCTGTGCTCTGGTAAGGTGTAGGGGGCCTACCAGACAGGAAGGGAGGATGAGGATGAAGGAAAAACATCAATTACTTTAAGGGTTCTTTATTATTTTTTTTTTCACATAAGTTGAGTTATGTCCATTTGTAGGCTAGAAATGTATGAAGCAAAACAGTGGGAAATGCCACATTTATAAGTGAAAATCCTATTCTGTATGACAGATCTGCTGCTGATGTTCTTGCCTCTTATACTAGTTCTTTGATCCACAAATAATTCCATTGTTTCTCATTCCCACTGAAGCCAAATACTGTGTTGGATGTCTTCTGTGCCTTTCTGCACCTTTAGACATCTTCAAAATCTAGCCCTAAATTACTACTCAGCATGAGTAAGTCTAGAATAGTCTCAATCTCCAAAAGTCAATCATTCTTTTATGAAAAAAATTCATAAGATGTTCATGTGGCAACAAACAACTATGCCATTTCACATTATCTTCAAATACAATTTTTCTGAAATAGTCTTTATAATCACCAAATAAAGACCCAAAAATTAGAAACAGGAACGTCCATTGGAACTGAAGAAGTTCAACTTGCTATACAGCACTTAACTAAAACAGTTTTGAGTGTTGGTTAAAAACAAGTATTAGTGTTCAAGTAACACTTGAAATTGTTAATCAAAACCACAAAGTACTAAATTAGATTTTTTTAATAAACTAGTGGAAATGTGAAACAACAAGTCAAAACCACAGCAACCTGAAGGGACAGTTGATTAATACCTGCTCTGCTCCAGCAAAAGCATGGTAGAAGCAGGACACATATGTCATGATAGCTCTCTCATCGGGTTTGGGAGTGTTCACAATATCTACAAGAGGGGGGGAGAAATGAAAACAAAGCAAAACAAAAAAGAGAATCGAGGAGTAGAAAACAGGATGAATAAATAAAAGCACAACATAGTTTCATTGATTGTTTTCTTGTCCATAGCTCTGTACTCTAGAAACTCTACAAAGCTGCAATAAATTTAGTGTTACATTGATGGATGCTGACAGAATAAAACATACACTGGAAATTCAACATAAGCTCTTTCAAAGAGGTGGAATCTTTTAAATATGCTTGATTCTGTAGTATTGTCACAGGGGCAGTGACCTTAATTTTACCGGGACTATCTGCTTAAGAAGTGGCACGTATATGTCTGGTGACTTAGAATGTGGGGGGGGGGGGTGACTCAGACACAGGAAAGACAGGCTACATTTTGATCTCAGGACATGTTCTCTGAAAGTGGCATGTAGATTAGTTATAACCTTAGCATTATACATCAGTATTCTTTATATTACTAATACCTGAAGTATGTCCAATCTGAACTGCCTTGCTTTTTAAAATTTTCCTTCTTTTCATTAGGACATGATTCTAGAGCTCTTCTGAGATGTCTGTGTATGTTTCTGTGTCTGTTTTACACAGTAGCAACATGTTATGTTTTGTTGCTGTTTGTACTTACCATTAAGCATTAAACATTTTAAAAACAACCCTGAAAGCACAAGAGAAGGATTTATTTTCTAAGCATCTGTTATGATGATTTTGACATCTGTAGCAGGAATAATATCCAGCAGGGAGAAAAAAAGATGGCATTCTGCTATTGAAATTGTTTTTTCACTATGAGCTTATATCTTGCATTTTTGAAGGTGCTTCAAATGAACGCGCACAGCTTCAATTAAAGAGAATAATGTCCTCTCTCCCATTCAGTAACCAGCTGTCAAAAACCTACTGGATATTATTAGTAAAGATACAGAAAGATGAGACAGGAAGGTTTGTTTCTATGGAACAAATGGATAGACTACTACAGGCTCTACCTAGACAGTGGCTCACAGAGAAAATCAGGCAAAAGAAGAGGAGCTCAGCTCTAAGATGCTGTCCTAGTAACTAGCAAGGAAAAGATCAGAAGAGGAAAAACTGCTGAAAGAAACAAGACAGAAGGTGAAGGATGAGATCTGATCCATCTTCTACAATCTCACCTTCTGAGCACCAGCAAATGCATGGTAGTAACAGGAAACATAAGTCATAATGGCTCTTTCATCAGGTCTGGCAGTGTTTACTACATCTGTGTAGAGAGAAGAGGGTTAACTGCTCAGAAATTCTCACAAGGTACTTCCATCAGATTATGATGATGATGCCACCTCAGTGCTGTAAGGATTCAAAATAAATACACCATTATTCAGGTTGCATCTGCTTACTAATATCAGTGCAAAGCTACCTACGCTTTAGGAATCAATAAATGGAAAAGACACAACTCTCCCTGAAATGGCAAAACATCTGAAGGCTGAGACTGTACAGAGGGTATTGCTCCCTTCTGGTTTGTGGAAACTTCCAAGCAGATGGCATGGCTGGCAGATCTACTGGGTTCAGCTTCACTGTCACTCCAGAGCAACTTCATCTAAATCACTAGAATTATTCCAGAGTTAAACACAGCCACTGGCAGTCACAAAATAGGTGTGTAGTGTGTACCAGCACAGGGTCCCTGTGACTGACAGGGTATTGACATATATTGGAAACATGTAGAACTCCTACAGTCCAGAAATACATTTTTTGTTAAGGAAAGCTTGGATATTAACAGTTTTGGAATCCCTGTGCCAGCCTGTCTTTTTAGTTAATAGCATAAATCATATAAGTTTGGCTTGGCTGGCTGACAGTTTTGTCCCTATTAGAGCAGGAAAGAGTAGAAGTATAGAAAGAGTGCAATCAAGGTATGGGTACCTTGGTCAAAATTGACCTTTTCAATACTTAACAGAGCAAGGCAGAAAAAGGTAATTTTACACTAATTACAGCTGAGTCATGAATGATGCTAGTGCAAGCTGCAAGGTTTTCTGTCAATGTAAGGAATGGGAAGATACTGGTGTGAAAAGACACAGGAATGAGGGGACAATTTCTAATATTAACAGTGAGATTTCTAAGTTCAGGACCAATGTATTACTGATTTTGCATACACTTCACACAGTTGTGAACAAAACTTTGCAAAGTTTCCACTGAGAACACAGCAGAAGTAAAAAGAGTAAAAAGTGATGGTGAATACTTAGAGGCTGTCAGAAGCAGCATGATTTCAAGAAGGAGGATAGTAAGATAAGGGCTAGAATGTGCAGAAAATCTGGTGAGGGAGGAAAAAAAAGGTTTCTTACATTGAACATGAAGAGGAAAAATAAGGAAAGGAGAACAATAGGAGAAGTTGTTCAATGGTAAGGAGGTAGCACTTCTGTTTATTCCTTGCACAGTATTTCAGAGTAAAATAATTACATGGTGCTTGAAAGGGAAATTGCAATTCAAAAAAATGAAAGCAATTAGTTTTGAAGCATGAAGGTGAAACTAAGAAATGTCTTCAATGAAGAGGTTACAACCTGAATTTTCCAAACCATCCAATATTGGCCTAACTTTCCTACCAAAGACTTCAAGGAGAGCAGACACAGTGAGTTTGAGTGCTCTGGATAATTCTCATGTTATCATTGCTCTACCGACAAGCCACCAGAGCAGAGTCTGCATACTTGGAGAAGAATGCTTTGAACTTGTGTAAGTAAATTCCAGTGTTTTGGCGCCATTTTTTGCCTAGAGTACAAAAGTTTGATTATCTTGAAGAAATTCAGGAAACTTTAATAAATATTTCCTTGTTATTGGTCAGCAAACTCTAAAGATTATTGGAGAAACCAAACATGAAAGTATTTGTTAAAACTATCACTGCAAAAAGGTTTGCAATTACAATAAACCCCAAAAATGCTTCCCTCAACCTAGGTCTCTTTCATAGGAGGCATGTTGTTAGCATATTTTGAAAGTTTGTGCTTTCTTTACTTCTATTTCTGATCGTCTCACTTAAACATTTTAAAAAATGAATATGCTTTAAGGTTCTAACAGTTCTATTTCCCTTTATTGGACTTAGATTTTAATTTCTTAAAGGCAAGGATTATCTTTTGATCCTGTATTTTACCTCAATTATCATAGTGGAGCCATATGCTGAGGTTAGAGTTCTAAGTACTATAATAAATACAAAAAATAACAAACAATAAGGAATAAAGCAAAAAGTGAGTGAAATTATCCAATACATGGAGAATAAGAAGGAAATAATTGTTTGAAAACAAAGCATCTTGCTCCATTATGATTCATGTGGAAGGAATGTTGAAAATTTGCTAGGTACCAAAAAAAAGTTAGTTTACTGTCTCCTGCTTGTAACACAAACTTCAGAAAGCTTTGTCTCTCACCTTCTGCATCCAACATCTTAGGGATATCCAAATGCTTTTCAGCAATTTCCATGGCAAGGTTGATATTTCCTATGGGGTCATCCTGCATTAAAGAAGAAAATACAACTAGTGAAAAATAGAGTAGGTACTCTAAAACTTACTCTGTTTTTCGAAACTGTAAACTGTAGTCACAACTATTGTTCTTCAAAAAGCAAAGTATAGGTATATGAACTATATAGTCTATCTACTGCTATATTTTAAAAAGAAAACATTAATAAGCTATTATGTACCATTAGGACTCTGCTGCAAATATATTCTGGAGGGGAACATAGATAATGTATGCTGTGTATACTCATAATTCTGAGCTAATTCTGAAGGAAGTGCAGCAGTAACACACAGTCAAGGCCACTGGTTCAGTAGGCTATACTAGACCATTCATCACAAAGTTAGTCCTGCATGTTTCATACCTACTATACATTACATTACAGTGATAAGAATTCTACTGAGTTCTCTGTTGGTCAGGCACATACATGAGAAGAAGCAAGCACAGACAGAACAGTTCTCTAGAAGGAGCAAAACTTCCCAGTTTTGGCTTGGACACAGAAATCAGTAACGCCTCTATAAACTGAATTTTAAAACTGTGAAAATTCAAGAACTTCCTCTGTTTTGAGATTTTGGGTTTGGTTTTTGAAGGAAAGAGAAAGGAAGCAATGAGCACAGTTCAGATAAACAGCACACATTTCATGACTTACACTACAGACAGCTATTGCTGACAAAGGAAGACCATGTCAGGTAGGGGTCCTCTTAGGGCAGCCTTCCTGTATCAGCTTGAAGTAAAAACATCCCATGCTAAACGGCGGTTCATGCCATTAATGCTATTATTATTTTCACATATTCACAAACTGCTAAATGATCATAGCCACTCTCAACAATGCCAATCCCTACAGAGAGAGGTTGGGAAAATAGGACTCAGAAGAGCAAAGTTACAGATGCTGGAGGGCACTGAAAAAATGTCAATGTTTTTTCTGTAGGGAATTTTCAGGGCTTCCATGTGAATACAAACACTTCCTATAAACCAATCTAGTTTCAAATATGCTTCTTTTGTTACTTTGAAATGAACTTAGTAAGACTACTTACTATGGAATCAGAGCAATTATTTAAGTTTCACAGAAGTCTGTTCCTCATGTACATACATATACCAGGTATCATAAGTAGTAATGCCCATGACACATCTTTCTATAAACATATCATACTAGATAGCCTTTCCTTTAAAAGCTGCATGTTCAATAAAATGTATTATGAAGCGGAGTTTATATTCTGAAACACAACAATTTGGGTACCATAGAATACAAAGTCTCTATTCATAATTTCTCACTCTATCATCATTTAGCAGTTTTGTGCATTGTTGACATCGAGAGGAACTTAAAATGTGGACACTATTTAAAACCCGTGAACTTATTTTTGCTGTTACACAAGACATCATGTGTAACACAACATATACTAAACGTGTATACAAAAACTCTCACTGAAATTAAATGGGACAAAAATCCACTAAATCTAAGTGAGACCTACTGACTAGGTTGAAACACTTTGCTTGTAGATGAGTGATGATCATCTCCTATTTGCATGCTTGGTACTAAGTCCATGAGTAAATAGTGCTCCACTGGTAAAGGATTTGTTTAAAATCACAGCAACTTCCAAATAATTGGAGATGCCCATCCCCCATCCTTTTAAACAAAACTACAAGCCACAGTAACTAAAAATCTCTGCTACAGCTAAAGAAATACCTCATCTAACTTGTCATAGTCAAGAAGATCAGGTCTGTGTCTATGGATAAGAGCGTTGAAAGCAAGGCCATCTTTCCAGCTACAAGTTCACACAAAACACATTGGTGAGAAAAGGAAAGGATGGCATGCAGGAGATAAGAAACCAAGAAACAAGACACCAAGACAGCTGTTAATGTAACCAAAATGAGCAGTCAATCAAATACAGCCAGATCAGAAAAGCAAGATCTATTTTAGGATTTTTCTGCATGTGCTTTACGTGCCACAGCTCAGCCTCAGTTTGAAATCTGACCTGTTCTTATTTTGGAAACCTCTAAGAGGGAAATAGTAATGCTGAAGCAGGTCTGCTTACGTTCTATTCCCTTTTCTCAGCACTTATATACAGGATGGTTATAATGTGAAGTTTTTTACTACGGTGTACCACTTTTCAAAGCACAAACTCAATTAAACTTCTGCTTGTGCCGTGCTCAAGCACATGCACACAGAGATGGGTAGCTTAGTCATTCCATGAATCTGTTTATCTGTAGAAAAGGTTGTATTTAGAATTAGAGAACAAGCTGGTATTGATGGCTAATATTTTGCCCTTTGGTTCAGATCTGCACCTGTTATGGTAACTGCCTAAACTAAAATCTTAAGAGTTTAGGAATAAGTTCACTTAATTTTCATCACTGCACACCTTGAAGACCCCAGCATGAATTTGGCATATATAAAGCAGATTAAGTTTTCAAATAATTTCATTTCATTCATTCATCTTTTCCTTCATCAAAGGCTTTCTGATAACGGTTGATTTCACTAGTAAACCAATTTGTAACATGAAGGGCATGTAATGGAAAATACTGTCTATGATTTACCAATCTCTCTCATCAATAAAAAGTTGCATTTGACAAATTAAAACCATGATTAAGTTTTCTGTTTTACTGGTGTTTACGTAAAACCTCAAGATGCTTCATTCCAGAGAGCCGAAAATGGTACATATGTATTAAGAGCTAATGTGAAATGACAACATTCCACTTTCTTTCTAGGTTTTATTCTTCAGTAATATTACCCAGAAATTCTGACATTATTACTTGCTCCTCATTCCTCCCTCTCAGACCAAAGTGGCTGGTATCTTTTAGAAAATGTGCATTTTGCCACAAGTAGCACACTGTAATAAAATAGTTTTGTAATCTCTGTGAGGTCCTACCTAAGAAAGTTAGGATATCAGTTTTGTTTCCACTTCTCTGGAAGTATAGGTAGAAGTATAATCTAAGAACTGGTGAATATTTTCTATGTAAGACTAGTAACTTATTGTGTACTCCTGGTTACCAAGAGTAGTGTTTGTTCTAAGGAATCTTAGGATTAATCATCATCTCATTTTCTACTGCTCTGCAATCTACAGTTATTTACACCAGATACAAAACAGAATGGACTGTACAATACTACCAGTGGCAAAAGGAGAATTCCAGTGTATTTAACAACCATACTGGGTAGCGTAAAAGGCTTCATCAACTGCCTAGCAGCTGAGGACCAGGTTATTTGCAATTAAATGCTGAAGTCATTGTAACGGGAAGGAAAGAAGGACACAAGACAGTCATGGGGTCCTTTCCTCCGTGTCACTGTTTTTTTCTGGAGCCAGTCAGAATTAGTATGCACTCCTCAGCTTGTGTTTTAGAAAACATGCTAAGCAAACCAGAAGTGAGCCATATCACTGCAGGACAGCATGCTGTACCACCCAGACTAATGACCTTATTTAGCTTGGAGTAGTCAATAAGATCAGGTCGGTGTCTGTGGATAAGTGCACATAATCCAAGGCCATCTTTCCAGCTTTACAATAAAAAATAGAATGGAAAAAAATAGTTAATAAAGTCATGGCATCTTACAGTTTGATCCTTGTTCAAGACTTAAAATCAAGCAGGAACTCTTCTATCAAATTCTGACAGTTAGTTCTGTCAACTCTCATCCCTCCGAGCTTTTCTGTCACTATACTCTTTTTCCTCTAGTACATATCTTACTCTTCAATCCATACACACTTAAAGACTCCATAATACTTTCTAGGCAGAGTACATTATGTGCAACAGTCCCTGATTTCAATTGCTTAATTTGTGCAATGTTCCAGAATAGCTCAGTGTACACATTCATTATTTGGTGTACAGTCCCTGTATTCCTTTTAAGAGATCTGAAATTTGTAATGTGTTATTTTCCTCGAATTATATAGAGGTATATTTCAGTAGAGCTTTATACGGATGCCAGGTGTACTGTAAATTACATTATCAGAATCTTAATGTTGATAGATATATATGCAAATGCATAATCTCCTGTTACACTTAGAGCATGTTTGCAAAAACATAAAATGAGAGCAAACCTGCGATTACTTGAATTTGCTGAAGCAATTGGCTTTTACTGTGTCATTTATTTCAGACAATTTTAATGGCACAATCATGTTGTGCTCATAGAATTATGAAGCCATAAATCGGCTTAGTTTATTTAAACACTTCACACATATGACAGCTTTGATCTGAGCTCTGACACTTTAGTGTGACATCAGGCCCACTAACTTTTGAGGCAAGAATGGGCAATGAACAGAGCTACAAATAATGTGTATTTGGAAAGACTATGAAAGGTTTCTTTCAGCCAGAAGCAATTATTCTGAACAATACTTTATGTAAACACTTTATGCAATCACTGGGACTCTGGGTTTAAGGTCTTATCATTTGCAGTAATCGTGTGATACTAAGCATGTTAAGACTATTAGAATCCTTCTCACTGAGATGTCTGGGTAGATCCTTCAAATAACAGAACCGTCTCCAATAAAAATTTAATACAATTAAGCAGAACGTATGCGCATTGTATAATATAAAATTATCCAAAAGGTAAAACTGAATCGAAATGAGGACCAAACTAACAAAAAGCTTTTTTCCAAAAGTTATAGACTAAAATGGTCTGGACAGCCCATTGTAAAGTAGTTCTGTAGGAGCCGATCAACCCAAACATCAATCAAAGTACTTCCATTCAAGACGTTTTCCACATACCATGTATCAGACCAGCATATATATCTATCAACATTAAGATTCTGATAATGTAATTTACAGTATACCTGGCATCCATATAAAGCTCTACTGAAATATATCTCTATATAATTCAAGGAAAATAACACATTACAAATTTCAGATCTCTTAAAAGGAATATAGTACATCAAATAAATTCTTTTCAACCGTGGATGCATGTGTGAACTGTATCTTCTCCAACACTACATGGGCTTCAGGTGCTGCACGGTAAGAATGAATTCAAAACACCAAAACACTGTAATACAGAGCTCTTATTGTAAGCACTGTAAAGGATTTCAGGGAAGGCGAGATCACATGTTTAAACAGCGCAAATGGAAAGTCATGTAGTTTAATGAGGTGGGTCACTGGCAGAGCTACAAGAACTAGCCCAGTGAAATCTCCAAACCTGGCAGCCTGCATATGGCCTCTTTCTAGCCCTTAATGAAAACACTGAACCACAAGGCTGGAGCTTCACTAAATTTTCCAACTTAGATAATGATTCTGATAACAAACATGTTTAAAGTGCTGCTGTTGTGTACTGAGTGCATTTTTGGCTCCTTATTTATAGTTACATTACAAAATAAAAAAGACTGATTCATAATAAGGAGATATTGGCATGCTCAACACATTGGTATTTTTGCCAAGAACAGTCTATACCTACAGTGGCTTTCATTTGAAAGCAGTCATTTTCCAAGTTACTATGCCACAGCACTCAGATACACCCATTTACCAAGGAACTCTAATAATGCAATAAGGTCATTCTATAAGTAGTAGGGATTTTTTTCTTTTAAATAATAACTATGGAAGCCATGGTGAATAATGCCAAAGGCTAATCACAATAAGCCTCTGAAGATAGAGCATGAGAATTTGAAAAAATTCTAGTCAACACTGAAGAGTGAAACTCTCCTGTCAAATATAAACCTACAGAACTATGGGAAAAATTTGACCTAAAATACTTTTGACTGCTTCTACTCCTTGAAATAATGGAAGTTTACCTAAGATGGAAGTTCTGAATGTTCACATTTCTGTAAGGAGCAGTTTTTCTTTGACACCACAGCAGCAGCCCTTCTTTGGCAGAGGTCTCTGTAAAAGAGATCAGGGAGTAAAAAAAGTAAAAATTTTAGAAGTGCTCAAGTTATTAATGTCTCATCATCTCAAACGTGGTCAGCCACCTGAAACTGGTTGGCATAAGCCAATACTTAATCCTAAAAGATACTCATACAAATGGACTAATGGGTTTCCATTATGACGAAGAGGTCAGCTCAACTGGAACAACTCAGACTAGAGTCTCAGCCTGCACAATAATTCTGGGATACGAGAATTTTAAGAATTTCTATTGGTTGGACAGCAGAGTGTATATTTGGAGAAAAATACCCAATATAAATATAAAAGAACTAGGCATAAAAGATTGTTTTGGTGCCTACATGAAATATGCTTGTAGTCTCAACTCATTTGCTTATGGGGAGGTATAAGTGCTGAAGAAATACCTTCATTATCTGAACCCTATTGGCATCTGAATGCATACATAAAGGACACAAAAGATCAAACAGACCATTAGATCCACATTTAATATCTCACAAATTATGGGCAGGACAGCATGCAGAGCTTGAATTGACTTACTTTTGTTGAAAATTGAGATTAGTTTCTAGAATTCTAGACTCTTCACAGCATAGACTTGATTTAGAGAGTATTATAACTAGAGCATACTTTTTGGAGCCAGTTAACAAGTGAAAGTTAAGAAAAAAATTCTGAAGCAGTGAGGGAAAAAAATGATAGAAAGAAGAGGGAGAAATCAGATAATATTTGCAAAGAAAGTGAGGAATGGACAGGACTAAAAAAGTATGTTGGAAATAGGACCACCATATAGGGTACAGCATAGTTTCAGGTCACTAAAATTCAGAAACACAGTCATGTTTCTATCTCTAGAACTGAGAGACATGCCCAGAACTTCTGCATTTAGAAAGCTGGCTTGAGGTCTCTGTCAAGATAAGGAGAGTAATTAATTTTTCCCTCCAGAAATCGATTTTGTCATCAGGTACGGAACTTGCAGTATCATTTTCTGTGAAAAAATAATTCATTTTTAAAACACTCATCTTACTTGTGCACAATTCATATAAAAATATCTTTAAACAAATTTTCTAACTATTTAAAATAGTTACATTATTATTACCTTCCACTGAAATATCCTGAATAGCAAAGCGAAGGATGATAGTCCAGATCATACCCAGTGTCATTTTCACATTGCCGTCAACAATTTCTAAGGCGAAAAAAAGAGATAGTAGTAGTATTTAGAATGTATCTTCTGTTTGCTCTTATTTTAATAATATATTTCTATAAATAAAATATTGTAGCTAATAAATCCATTATATTTCTACCATAATTCTCTATCTACACAGAGTTAATCTGGATTTATTTTTCAACAAACTCATGCTTGTGCTACACTGGTAGTAGGACTGAACGTTATTGAGGTTAAGGTCACTGCAGCCCTTCCATGCTAAAAGGTTTCTCTCCAGGTAGCTGTAACTGTCTTAAATCTTTACTTTTTAGGCTGACTTTTTTCGAGAGAGTTTGAGGGAAATACCTATTTAAAGTTTGAACAATATCAGCCTTACTGTTTTCAAATACAAAGGAACTGAAAAAAACCTTGGTCTTACTCCAAATTTTAAGAAACTACAGGACATTAACTATTGTTTTTAATAAAACTGTACTCAGAAATCCCCCTATATTATTTAGACTTTTTTGAGAATTTATCCTATCGTGCCAGCACGCACTAGATATGAAGAACAGCTCAAGAGACACAACACCTCCTGAGACTAAGCTATATAGCTTCCTGCTAAGCAGTTCAGAAACATGACCATGAGGTTGTAATGTCTTACAGCACCCTAACACCTATGCACGTTTATGTATCTTTAATATAAAATGGGATTTTTTACCTCTGGGGTTTCAATTTCTTTCAAGACTGCTTGAGTCTACACAGGGTGCTAGGAAGGTGCTTTCTCCAACCCTTCTCACACACACACGGGAGCCCCTTCCACAAGCCAAGTCAGAATCCAGTGCTCCTACATTCTAATACGGACAGCGATATTGCTTAAGTGTCTCAACACCAAAAAACGTACTGCCAGACCACAAAAGTGTGGTGATAATGTTAAATGAATCTGAAAAGTACGGTGAGAGACTCAGAAGAACATAGTGAGACTATAAGGAGGGTCCAGCACTGGAATGGGAGACAGTGGGACAATGAGAGAGGGAAACTGCAAGACTGCCATTCCAGTCACCTCACATTGAAAGAGCAGCGGAGCAGAGAAGGCACCAGCTGCTCCCCTGCTTGAAAGTCACCTCCAGTCTTCCTCAAAAAGTGGAGCAGCTGTGGCTGCCTGGGGGCCCTCTGGTGTTCTGGGGAAGGAGCAAGAAGAACTTGCAGTGGGAGGAATTTCCTCAATGTAACGTCAAATGCCAATAGAGGTGCCAGCAGAAAAAGCAGCCGCTCTACTACTGAAAAGCTGTCTGAATCCAGGGGAAACTTTTACAGAACAAAGCAGCTGCTAGCTCCAAGACTCGAGATACATGTTAAATTGCAGTAGTATGTGGCACAAGTTGTCATTTGAACCTATGGAATTAACAAATGTGGTAGGAGATATGTCACCCATCACTAGATACTTTGCTACTGTGACAATCCAGGTTTATATACAAATGGCTATTTTTCCACTTTCTGTTCGGGTTCTACGCTAATTTTCCAGAATTCTTACTTCACTTTGCCTGCCTTCCACGTATTATTACTACAATCTCATTGGCCCTGAAAGACCTCAAGTCTCTTCAAATCTCAAAACTAAACTCTTTCAGTCAAAGAAGTCCAAAATAGCAACTAGGGCATGTAGCTACTTCTCTCTCCTCCCCTCTCCCCAGTCATATATTTAATACATTGTATTTTGATCAGATGTCTGATATGTATATACAGTATAGAAGAATTTCTTCAAATGTAAGATAAATGAATTTAAATACTCAAGAGGCATTGCTGATTGTCAGGCAATCAATTCATGGATTTGCATAATCACTAGATCATTGTTTTGATTTACATATCCGTATACACACACAGACAGAATGAACGAGTAAGGGAATTTTCTGTGTTGTGCCTCAGGAGAATTCTCAAGTGATTTGTGAGCTTTGGTTTCTCATTATCTACTGCTAACACAAAACACACGAAAAAAAAGACATGTAAAAGACAAATATCTGAACAGAAGGAAGACAATGTTGCCAAATGTTGGAAAGTATCAGTGACAAAAAAATACTGATTCATTCCTATCATTTTCCTCTACAGGCCTGTAGAAGATTTCTTCATTATTTTCTTACACTGCCTGTTTGCTCTAGGAGGGATATAGTCCCTACACTTCACATAAGCAAAGCTACAGCTTTCTGGGGAAAAAGGTCTCGCTGATACATGAGGACAGAAAATGAGAAGAAGGAAAGGGAAGGGGAAACAATAAAAACTGCCTGGGGAAAAAGCTAAGCAAAGCAGTGTAGCAAGTTCCCAAAAGTTTTTGTTTTGTTTTGTTTTTTATTCTGCTTTGGCTTTTTTTTTTTTTTATTCCAACCTTCTTGTAGCAGATTCACAGATCACTTGGTCTTGAATATTTCTCCCGATCCCCAGAAAAGCAATGCAGAAGTGTTTCCTATTAACGGGATACTTATCTTTTGTGGTTCTCCATATCTCAGTTCATTTCGTTCAGGACGCAATTACCTCGCAAATGGAGTTATTGCACTTCGTTAAAACTTAAGGGAAAACTTCTAACTCCTGGACTGTGAACAGCTCATGAGGACTACTTTCACAGCTTTTGCTTTAGTTTCTTGACTCTCTAGTCTCATTTAATTACCAATGGAGAGAAAGACTCTTCCACAAGTCAGATCAGAGTAGCTAAATTTGGCTTCTGTTCAGCATCACAGTTAAAGGTGACCACCTCTCCCTACCCACTCCACAGATAGCCCAAGGAAGTCAGCCTCACAACAGTAATGATGGCTCTAAAGAACATCCCTGACCCCTTAAAAATACTACATTGAATTGCATACTGATGTCTCACAGGAATCACAGTTTAATCTTTGTTTTGAGGGCCCATTTTAAATGCCATTTGGTCCTCTTATGCCTACGTGCTCTTCACCACTCAGCATGTCAGATAATAAAACATGACGCTCAGCAGATTTAGATACAAAACTTTCATACTTTGAAAATTAAAAAGTATTCCAAGCATCCGTGTAACCCAGAGAATGTCAAAACAGATGGGTGCAGACAAACCCACGTGTCCCATGCTTACACATAGGACCAGTGAGTTAAGAGATTAGGCACTTTGATGTCAATACAAGCTTAAGGATCCTATGCTCTGCAGCCTTGCTGGCATTCATTCCATCTTCATACTCTAATCACTGCCTAGTCAAGAATGCTGAAAAATGCCACAAAAGAAAAGAAGAGTGTTTTAAAAAAAGTGTGTTTTAAAACCAGATCAGATTGCTGATCCGGTCTCCAGCATAGCTACAGAAACAGTTGTCAGCCCAAGTGACAGGGTAGGGCTGTGAAGTGTAGGAGCAAGTATGCGAGATGAGGGGGCACAGGGACTTTTTAAACACGTACTGGTGCCAGAGGTCCCACACTGTGAAACCATACCCAGTCAGATGTGATACTGCATTGCTGCATCAGCTCGGCACTGTGCCTTAGATAACAAATGTAGTAGAGGAGATGTAGTAAACTTAACAGGGCACTAAGCACGTCTGGACCAGAGCTGGCTTTGTGTTCAGCCTGTTTAGAGTGGGAGTGGAAGGCACATGAATCTATCTGCTCCTGCCCACATGAATGTAATCTAATGTGTGTTAGTAGCCATACTTGACATAGTGCAATGTCTTACAATGACAGGTTCCTCTCTGCATATAAGCTATGACAGCAGCAGCGTATTTTTCTCCTGTGCTTCCATCCAAGAATTTAAAATGTGGGGTTTTTTAATGCTAATGAATAAATTTTTGCTTCTAATCCCTCCACTTTACAGACCAAGAATTCCAGAAACTGGCAATAAAAGCCTGCAGCACAGGCAAAAAAAAATTACTTTAATCTCCTGGCTTACTAACTACGGTCTGCTGTTACATGCAGGAAGAAATACTGAGTGCAAGGACAGACATCACCTTGCAGCAACTGGCTAAGAAGCTGGAAGAGGTTACTGCCTCATATTCCTGCCTCCCTCCCAGAGGGAATTACCTATCATCACAGAGTGTCTAGGCTCATGCCAGTTGCTGTCCAGGGAAACGGCAGGCTTAGTTTAAATGGTTTTAATGGCTGATCTGAGCTAACCCAGATGCTTTGCCTTCAGGTGACACAAAGTGCTCAAGCGTTGCTCCCTAGTCTGAGCACCCTGGCAATAATAAGCAGCAATAAGCAGGGCAAAATGAGGGAGATAGGAGTACAGAGGACTGCACATTTCAGGAGCAGATATTAGCTGATGTACCTCAGTTTAAATGCTCCAGCCTTGCTTGAAGAACCTAAGTGGGAAAACAGTACATTGTGCAAACTGTGATCAGCGAGAATGACCACTGTCCCACAAGATACTCCTCCTGCTGCACTCTTGTATCCTGTCAGGAAGTGTCGAAGTCACAGCATGACATGACAGAAACTACCATTCATTTACTCTGCACTTGGTACTCTCAGTATTTTTGCACTGGCTACTCAACAGGCTCTGTATGCATAATTTTCATTTCCACACATAAATTGTCTCTTCAGTACCCTCTGCTGTCTGTTCAATGGCATGTCGCTCTCAGAATAGCCTTAACTGTAGAGGCTCAGGGTAGTGGCATATTTTGTCATCCCACTTCACCTAAACAAAAGGCCCAGCTGCCCCTGACTGCCTGTACAACTGGTGGAAGCAGCCAGGCACCTCTGAAATGCAATAGAGTTCTTCTGAGATCCGAAGTGCCTTTGGGATTTGTTTATCTCCCCCACTGACGATATAGTCCCCAAAAAAGATCTCTGTTATGTGCCTAAAGATAGACAGTATGGATTTGGACTCAGATGGCCTACCCAGTTTAGTCTCAAATGAACAAAGAGTGGGTTCAAACAAATGCTCTTCCCAGAGAACACCCATTTCTTGGGATTTTGGAGCTCTGGATCTAGAAATTGAACACATTTGGTGAATGATACTTGAGGAACCAAGTGGGCTAGGTCAAATCGTTGTGGAATCACTGAATGCTGATAGATTTCTCCATTACTTCTACAGATGTCCCTTTCTGTCCTAATAAATCTTCCTGCTCCAGCCACAATTACAGTAAGCTCCCTGAGATCAAGGTTTGGAAGCCAGAATAAGGGCATATGTAAGCCCAGAGAAATCAGAAGACAGGAAGAGAAGGCTCACAAATTGATCTAAAAAGGTCTCAGCAATGTGAATAGAATGTATCTTCTCACCATGATATTGAGGTTACAGCCAGAGTTTTGCTCTAAGGACATGTTAGAGGCTGCCCCAGAATGGACAGCATATCACTAAGACTATGGAATCAAAAATAGTTATAGAATCATAGAATCGTTAGGGCTGGAAGGGACCTTCAAAGGCCATCTAGTCCAACCCCCCTGCAAGGAACAGGGATATCTCCAACTAGATCAGGTTGCTCAGGGCCTCATCCAACCGGGCCTTGAACGTCTCCAGGGATGGAGCATCCACCACCTCTCTGGGCAACCTGTTCCAGTGTTCTACAACTCTCATGGTAAAAAATTTTTTCCTAATATCCAACCTGAATCTACCTCCCTTTATTTTAAAACCATTACGCCTTGTCCTATCACAACAGGCCCTCCTGAACAGCCTCTCCCCATCTTTCTTGTAGGCCCCCTTGAGGTACTGGAAGACCGCTATAAGGTCACCCCGGAGCCTCCTCTTCTCCAGGCTGAACATAGTTGAATATCATGCTAGCCACATCATGCCTTTGTATGGTAATGGCTAAGCAAAGCATTATGCAAATATCTCCATGGAGCAGCTAGTTCTAGACAGACCTTTGTCCTTTTTAAACTACCATTTGAATCTCATATTGCAGTGAGATCCTGCCTTCTTTTTCTCAATTTACATTTATCAGCATTTAGCTAGCCAACCGCATGTTTCTTATTTAACTAACTGAACAACAGAACAACAACAAAGTAATAACTTTAGTAAATAACATCCCACTCCACTTTCTTCATATGTTCAGTCTCTCCCCAGCTACCATAACTTCTTTTGATCACTCCCTTAACTCTGAATCTGAATTTTAGAAACAGAGCTGCCATGCACAGTCAGTCTCATAATAAAATGGGAGTAGGTCTCAGCCACTCGGTAGTGATGTCAGCCTTTGTCTTGTCTGAACAATATCTCCTAAAGATAAAAAAAAAGATCCCAGATTGGATAAAGTACACCCTAGAATCGAACCTGATTTCTAAAGGAGTTCCTTATTTTTAATATGTACAGGAAAAACATCATGCTCCAAAAGAAGAAATCATTATCTGAACACCCACTGAAAAACAGACAATTCAATTTAACCTTGGAGATAAACCAATCTTAGAGCCCATTTATACCCATGTCCCTCTCCAGGTGTCCACAAATTTCCAGCTCTTCTCCTTTCACAGATATAGGTCAGCAATCAATATTAAGGGATTTTTGAGGCACTCGTATAGAGAACAGTCAGCACAATTTGCCCAAGGGTCTCTGTCAGACTTCTTTGAAATGTGACTGCCTAGGATCTAAGTAAGGTGTATTGTCAAGCCCTGTCACATACCTTCTGCACCAATTGACACAAGTTTTACTCCTTTGCTGGCGATATAATCCAGAGCTTTGTTGACATTAGCAATTTTATGGAAGCGCATTTTCCCTCTGTCTGGTTTCGGCAGTCTTTCTCCTGCAGAATAACAAATTTAATACATTTATTGTTACATACAACTGGCTACAGACACACAAGTGATTCAAACTCAAAAGCAAATGTGCCCTGAACACTGTCTAAAAATTAGTAGTTATTTTAATAGGTATTTTTCTGAAAAAATATCAAATAGCTTTGAACAGCACCCTGAAGAGAAGATTCAAATGTTGAAACATCTGACTTAGATTTTTCTGATACAGCAGTAAACCAGAGTAAAACTTTTATGTTTGCCCTAAACACCTGGAAGATACGCGAGTGCTTCCTCCACTTCCTTGAAGGCTCTGGGGAGACTGTACAGCAGCCTTCCAGTACCTAAAGAAGGCCTCCAAGAAAGCTGGAGAGGGACTTTTTACAAGGATGTGATGATAAGACTAAGGGGTCTAAGGGGTAATGACTTTAAACTGAAAGAGGGTAGATTTAGATTACATTTAAGGAAAAAATTCTTCCCTGTGAGGGTGGTGAGACACTGGAACAGGTTGCCCAGAGTAGTTGTGGATGCCCCATCCCTGGAAGTGTTCAAGGCCAGGCTGGATGAGGCTTTGAGCAACCTAGTCTAGTAGAAGGTGTCCCTGCCCATGGCAGGGGAGTTGGAACTAGATGATCTTTAAGGTCCCTTCCAAGCCAAATCATTCTATGATTCTACTCGACTTCTGGTTCATTGCTACTGTCTGCTTTAGAGTAGCCTAATATTAAGAAGGCAGGATGTTCTCAGAGCTCATCATCCCCACCTGCCTGACTATAAAGAGAGGCTGGACTCTACCCAAGAGATTAGCCATAGCATCCTTCCAAATATGATGAAGAACAATGGCTTTTAACAACCTCATCCAGTACAGCAGAGCAGCTAATTTCAGAGCATAGGCTGATCTGTTTGAATGAACCTATCTTTTCAAATGATCATGAAGAACAAGAGTTTCTGAAACTATGACTCTCTATTTCATGAAGAGTGATCATGTGAAGATCTTCTTTCTTCACTGAAGTCTCCAGCAAAACTGTAAACTGTCTTTTCCATAACAACGTCTTTAAAAAGTCCTCTTGCCCTTTCTCATCTTTATTGCATGTCTGTAACTTGAGCTATTCCCCTCCCATTCAGGGGCATTCTGAGTGTACCTTGGGGATTGTCCCTCTGAATAACACATAAAATGGGTGATGTAGTGAGTTTACATCAGCCAGTCAAAAAGAGTTCTTGGCTGTTCCAACCTTCCGAAATGCGAGACCTTTTACTTGTGACTAAATATTGATCTAGTTTTTATTTTAGACACTCACTTTTGAAAGCATTGGTCCATCCAATAAAGTCATTAAAAGCAAAGCAAATCTTTTATACTAAAAGTGGAATAAAATGAATTTGTAACCTAAGTGTAAAGGCTTTTTAATTTTTAGGGACTAAGACGAGGTCCTCAATGTTTGTGGTTTGTCCAACAACACTGATGTCAGTGATAGCCTCATACACTGTGATATCCTGGAACACAAGCACAAAACTGAAGATTTTGGAGATAAGGAAAAAAGCAGAACTTTTTTATCCTCCCTTTTGTTTTATAATGTATTTCACCTCTCACTTTTCAGTCTACTTAGAGTTCGTGTTCACTGTTTTGAATTGTTTACAATTTTTGTTCTTTTAAGAGTGTTTCAGTTAGAATGCTGTAAATACATAGCAAACTTTAACCTACCTGAGATAACTTCCAAGAGGAGCATCAGTTTGAGGCCATTTCTGAAGTCCTCCTCAATGTTCTCAATCTGCGTGCCTGCTTTCCTGAGGTGGGAATTGCACCAGGCTGTAAATGTCTGTAATAGTAATTTTAAAAAAAGCTTATCAACAAGGTGTTTTCCAAAACAATTGCTAAGCCATATGAGTAAACACTGCATCTGAGATTTTCACTGCTGCTTTAGAAATTTGGATGTCCAACTCTCATTCATTTTATACATGCCACTGTGTTCAAAATTCTTATCCCAGATGTTCATGCAGATGCAAAGAATTACTTGATCAGAAACTAGATTCTGCTTGTAAATGCTTCTCAAAAAAAATCTACATATAAAGGCAAAAAATGCCTAATAGTTATTACAACAGTTAACATTTTATGAGCACATAATTTTTTGTTGGGACTTATTTGTTACACATTCTTCCTGAAAAGAAAGATTGATATGGTATAAAAGGAAGCTGTGTGACAGTAAAATGTAGGCAATAGGAAGCACAGAAGCAAAACCTTCTACTACCTCGATTCATGTCATGATAAACCATTTTTATACAGATTATCCACACCACAAGCATTCCTCACAGGCAGGAAGTTGTGAGAACACTCTTCAGGATGAAGTAACTGAAGAGAGACTTTATACAGCAAGCATACCAGCAAAATTGCATCTGCTCCTACTTGTAACTACAGCGAGAAACAGAATGTCTTTTGAAAACACAGACAATTAGAATGGATTTTGAAAGTTTGCAATAATTCAAGCACAGAAGTTTCACATGCAGATCCTTCATATATGCTCTGCCTTACCAAAGGTATTATTTTTTAAATGTATTATATCATTTTCAGAAAACTACCACAACTTCATGAAACACACAAATGCAGATACTTAAGTTTGCAGGGCAAAAATGGTCACAAAAGCAACTGTGAGCATTTCTCTCTTCACGGAGAATAACCAAGTCTGCTTTTACTTGCACAGACGAAAAGCGGAATGAACTCCATTGATCTACAGATGTGTGACAGTAATGTCATATACAGATGTCATATACACATTACCTGTTGTATGAATGAAATCAAAACATAGGCTACTACAAAATCTAGTAGTTAAAATTAGTCTGTTTTCAAATATCCATTACTTGTCAGTCTTCTGACAAATTCTCCTTGCTATTCAGAGTCTGTTAAGCTATATAAAGCAAGTTTGTGTTTAACAGATATTTCACCAAGTATTTAACTCTAGGTATATAACAAGGCCATACATTTTGGTAAGTTAGACTTCAGCTACTTAAAATTGTCAGATATTTAAAATTCCCCTTCTTTTGCTATTTCAAATTACCATGGTTTTAAAAACATTTAATGTAAATAGTTTTTAAAATACAATATATCCTAAATCCCCATTATCAATATCGAATTTCCTTTGGCTTCTTTTTTCTTGCCTGTTTTTTTAATACTAATTTCTGATCTCTCAGAAATAGAATAAGAAAGGCCAGTAGATGAAGGTAAAAACTTTCCCTGGAACTGAATCTTGTACATTCTGGACAGATTTCGTACTCAAGAAGATATGAATTGAATTTTCAAAAATGGTCTATTCTTAAAAATGCAACTTTCTGTTAAAGAACAACATTTTGATTGTTGTTGGGTTTGACTCAATTTTTGTGAAGAATTTATATGCAGCTGGATGGGCTCTTTTCTCAGAGCTTCCGCAGTGACAAGGAGCAGTTTGCTAAACTTCTCCTTTCCAATTGAAAGAAAAAACAAAGAGCAGCTATGGATATGAAGGAGCTGTGCAGTGAAATTCCTGATTCTAGATACCCAGAGAAAGGAGGAGAGAGAAGATAGCATTGGAAATGGTTCTGGACAGGGGTCCTGTTGACCTGCAGAGGCCGAGTTGCAGGTATGGAGATATGAGAAAATCGTTCTGTGCGCAGATGCAGATAAGTATGGCTGCAGCTGAAGTATCTCTGCAAATACATCTATTTTAATAAAGGGATGTTAGCTTGAAAAGCAGTCATTCAGGAAGGTAAAACTTTCCTCATTTTAAGGTAACTAGCTTTATCAAGCTCATAGGAGACCTGAAACCAGAGTAAGCCAAGCATCACAACAGAAATACCAGGCACCTCTACCCTCAGGGCTTAACATGATGGAATCTTAGGATGGTATTTGGTTTGGATCATTAAAGGGTTAGGATCTAGTTTATTAGAGTAATTTGTCTGCCTCAAGCAGTATCTCATTCTAGTGATATGTATCTAAAAAGGCTTAACACTGCATTAAGTCATTTGCAAATACTAAAAATTGTAACAAGTATCCTCGGAAGGAACAATATTATGGTAATATAGAAAAAACAGCTGAAAGCACTCCAGAGTAAACACATATGAACCTTGCATGGCTATTTGGCAATAAATATTAGAAAGCTGAACCAGCAAATGAATGATCCTTTCATGAATTAAGCTTAAGTGATGGGCATGTGCTTATCTGCAGGTGCAATTGCACTTTGTAAAATTGTTCCAAGAACATCATGCTAAACTCAAAGAGGAATTTGGAGAAAAACCTCAGCTATTTCCATCTCTTCTTTTAAACATTTATGGTGTACATTCTGACCTTGTACCACTCAAGTAAATGAGTTTTCCCCATTTTTCATTTAATTAAGAGTTTAATGCCAACAACCCCACCACTTGAGCAGTCTTAAAGTACAAGTCTGATTCCTACTGTGAAGAAAGCTACTTCTCACTTAGTTTCTTAAGAAGAAATGGAAACTGGCACTTCTTAGCACATATATGAATATATATATAAGCAAATTTGAATCTTGTCCACCTCTAATCTCACCGTAGCCATCTATTTTGCCTCTACAACAGCTGATTCAACTTACTGGATACCGCACTGATAGGCACAAATCACAAGTTTTATACAAAGATCCCAAAGTTTTCAAATAATTTAAATATCTTCTCTTGAAAACAGACATTTTTATGGCACTGAATTTGCTAAGAAACAAACTGAGGCACCATGGAATCATTGAATCATAGCAGAAAAAATAAAAACATATACTAGATGTTCCAACTCCCAGTGCTGTCCTTTAATCACTAGATAAGATCTCTTCCCTCCTCATCTGCACATCTTCGCACTGTCTCTTCTCAATCTCGTTCATTTTATGAAGACACTAAGCAGCCAACGTTGCTATCATATAAAGAAGGAAAAGATGCTAC